CACGCTGTGTCCAACATATTATGAGGCACAAAAAGGCAAGAAAAAAGTAATTGTCTAGAGACAACCCAACTAGACTCAGTGGTGATTCAGATGGAACTATCAGAAAGGGACTTTATGATCAATACAGAGGGAAGATCTAGTGTGACAATCAACAAAGTATGAACCATGGCTCAAATCCAGCCTGGGACTGGTCTTTGTACAGCCTGTGAACCAAGGGCATCTTCTGCATTTTAAAGGGGTGTTTTAGAAAAGAAGAATAGGTATCAGAGACTGTGTTATGACCACAGAACTGAAAATATATACTGCCTTTACAGAAAAAGTTAGATTAGGTGACAGCTGTGTAAACAGATGTATAAACTCTAAGAAAAAAATCAAATGGGAATGCTAGAAGTAAAAACTTTGGCATGACAGAGTTGCCCTGACTGACTCATTAGTGTGCTTGAGCATAGTCAAAGGGGGAAACATGGGATTTTGAATATAGGTCATTATGAATTATGTAAACAAAGTAAGAAAAAATGTGAAAAATGAGAACAGAGCCAGATACGGTGGCGTACATCTTCAATCCCAGCTAGCTGAAGGGCTGGGGCTGAGGGATCACAAGTTTGAGGCCAGCCTCAGCAACTTAGTGAGACTGTGTCTCAAAGTAAAAGGACTGAAGCCGGGAGTGGTGGTGCACACCTGTAATCCCAGTGGCTCAGGAGGCTGAGGCAGGAGGATTGCTAGTTCAAAACCAGCCTCAGCAACAGCAAGGCACTAAGCAACTCAGTGAGACCCTGTCTCTAAATAAAATTCAAAATAGGGCTGGGGATTTTGTGGCTCAGTGGTTGAGTACCCCTGAGTTCTTGTCCCTGGTACCCAATAAATAAATGGGCTAGAGATGTATCTCAGGGGTAAAGTGCCCCTGCATTCAGTTCCCAATATGGCAGGCAGGGAGACAAAGGATGTAAAAGAGCTATAGGGCAATATCAAATGATTAAACATTCATAATTGAAGTACTAGAAGGAAAAGAGAAAAAGAACAGGTCAGAAGAAATATTAGAAAAAAGAATGGCTGAGAATTTCTAAAATCTGAAAGATATCAAGCCAAAGATTCAAAAATCTAAGAGAAATCAGGAAAAGTTCATTCAAAAAACAAAATAGAGGATGTGGGTATAGGTAAGTGGTAGCGCACTTGCACAGCATGCTGGAGGCCTGGGTTCAGTCCCCAGCACCTCCCTCTCCCCCCCCCCCAAAAAAAAAACCCACAACACACTTTATAATTATATGTCTTAAAAACAATGAAAAAAGAGAAAATGCAACCAGAGAAGAGAAAAATGTTATATACAATATTATATACAACAGGAATAAAGATAATAATAGAACCTCTGCAAGTCAGATTAACTGAGTGACATCTTTTAAATATCAAGATAAAACAATCTTGCTAACCCAGAATTTATACCTCCCACAAATATCTTTAAAAACTGAAAACATAATAAAGACATTTTCAGACAAAAATGGAGAACATGTACTGCTAGCAGTGTATACAATAAAGAACTGCTAAAAAGAAGTTATGCAGACATAAGAAATAACATACCTGATAGAAACTTGAATCTACAAACAGACATAAAGAGTTCCTGAAATGGTAAAAACTAAGGCAAACATAAAAGGTTTTTGTTATTGTTGATTCACTCTATATAATAATTGACTTTATAAAAGAGGTTATCAAATTTTTCCTGTAAGTGGCTAGATAGTAAATATTTGGGGTTTTAAGGGCTACACTGTCTCTGTCACAACCACCCAGCTCTACTGTTAGAGTTTAGTAGCAGTCATAGGCAGTATGTAAACGAGTGGGCATGGCTATATTCCAGTAAAACTTCATTTACAACTTCAGACAACAGGCCAGGATTGGCCCATAGGCTGTAGGTTGCTCTTGGACATAGTTTCAGAAATCCTCGGACAATAGCTTAGTAGATTGGCCAAATATCAAAAGAGTAATGTATTGTGATCTATTGGCATTAATCCCAGGAATGAAGGCTGGTTCAGCATTAGAAAACTAAATGTAATTCTTCATATTAACAGACCAAAAAAGAAAAGCTATATGATCATATCAATACATGCAGAAAAAGCCTTTGTTAAAACCTAGCATTTTTTCACAATAGAAAAAAAATTCTGCAAACTAAATATTAAAGAAAATTGTCTCAATCTGGTACTAAGTTTAATATTTCTGAAAATAAAACCTACACTTTCTGAAAAAGAATATTTATATATAAATTCAACTAAGAATCAGAGAGGTTTTAGCTGGCCCTCAGCAATGTATTAAGCTGGTGATCTTTTGGTTTTGACCTGCAGATTTTCCTGGAATTTACTTTTGATAATTTTCACTTGCTGTTCTGTTTGGTGTAGTTAAGGTGACCTTTGCCACCAAACTAAGTTCTGACAGATCTTTCACCTACATGTAGTACAAAATCAGAAGTAGAATTCCAACAAAGATCATGATGATATCAACTGGCAGTGGTGATAGCAACGTGCATAGGTTCCATCATTAACAGACTGCTTCACATGCTTTATCATTGTTGGTTCCTATGCCTTACACAAAGCAACGCTGTAATTTTGTAAATGGTAATACTGAAATACACCTAATAATGATAGTAGTTGACATCATACAAGCACCCACTATGTGTAAAGCATTTCTCACTTCGCAGAGGGTAACATTTATTTTTCACAGTAGGCCCATGAGGCAGGTACTATATTTTTTCCTTGCTTATAGATCAGGACCCTGAGATATAGAATTGAATAATTTGCCAAGACTTAAGGTTTAGCTGGGATTTAACCCCAAGCTTCTGACATTGGGTAGGTTCTTTGAACCGCTGCATGATTCTCCCTCTGGAAGAAGTTTGGTGTCTGACAGGGCACATTGCTACTAGATATCCAAGGCAGGGCCCAATTTAGCCATTTCACTTTGAGTAGTTTATTGTCTAGTGTACCATGTATCTGACCTATGAATTATACATGTTTGAGCTACCTATCTTCCCACTTACATTCTGAAGACAGAAAATTGTTATTTTTCCCTTGTAAATCCTCTGGAGGTCTCCACTGCTGAATGGGTGTTAATACATGTATTGATTAAAACACAAAAATCTGGGGCTGGGGCTGTAGCTCAGTGGCAGAGGGCTTGCTGAGCATGTGTGAGGCACTGAGTTGGATCCTCAGCACCACATAAAAATAAACAAATAAAATAAAGGCATTCTGTCCACCTACAACTACAAAAAAAAAAAAGTTTAAAAAGAAAAAACTAAACTAAAATCTGAGGGAAAACCAAAAGAAGTTGATGTGGAAATACATACATATTCTACTTTCTAAAACCTATTTATTATTCTCTTTAAAAAAAAAAAAAACAGGGGCTGGGGCTGTAGCTCAGCGGCAGAGCACTTGCCTAGCATACAAAAGGAACGGGGTTCGATCCTCAGCACCATATAAAGATAAACAAAATAAAGACATTCTATCTGTTTGAAAAAAAAAAAAAAACAAGTGATCACTCTACTTTTGACTCTTGGGAGAATGGCCAAGGAAGAATATTTGCCTGACATACCCCTACCTCAGAAAAGTTCATTTCCATAAATCTGTGCTGGAATGATCATTCACTGGTTTCGAGACAGGCAGTCAACTGTGATTTTGTCATTACTTCAAGAGTACATTGATTAATCAGAACATGGCATTGGGCAGTCAGGATTCCAGGCTAATAGCATAGTGGGAGGTAACTTGCTATACTTGGATTTCATGAGTTGCAGACAAGTAGGGCAGGTGGAGAAAGTCATGAAGCATGCACCATAGAAAAGTACCATCCTTTGAGTCACACTAACAAAGCACTCATTCCCATTTTAGCTGAAGGTTTTATTTTTTTTCTGTTGCTATATATTTGTGCAGACATTTTCAGAGGAAAAAAGTTTATCCATTTGAACATTCTTAACAGTTGCTATGCAAGTTTATAAAAACCATATTATCTGTTGTAGTCATCATCACTAAAGTTACTATGCATGTAAAATTCTAAACTGGGCGTAGGAAATACAAGTTCATATCCTTGGGTGAATTTTTTCACAGTCTTTGCTGGTATTTCACTCTAGTTCTATCTGAATTTTTTGGCTAAGCACCTACACCTTTTAGCTCAAATGTTTCTGTTTAAAAAAAAATAAAAATAACAACTACTAAGCCTGGTACATCACCTGTAATTCCAGCTACTCAGGAGACTGAGGCAGAAGGACTGCAAATTCTAGGCCACCTGGATAATTTAGCAAGACCCTGTCTCAAAATACAATGGGGGGGGGGGGGGGCAGGAAGCCTGGTATATAGTTCAATGAAAAATCCTAATTAAGCCTGTGCTCCATTTTGTTACATAAAAATTGCTGTATACCAGACCTGAGTGCTGTTCTGCTCCTGACTTGGGCGGGACTCTGGCCCCTCATCTGTCACTGATCCTGTTTACTCCTCAGTAGGACAGGGATTTTTTTTTTTATCAGCCTCATAAAATTTCTGTAAAAATGAAATAAATAGTGTAGGTAGAGCCCATGGTCCATAGTAAACATTCAGTGCAGGTTCGTTTTCTTCTTTCTTGATGTATAAATTATACTTCCCTTCTGGAAGTGGTAGTTTTATCATTTGCTAAAATAGTGTCAATTTGAATGCAAAAACATTAGAATGTCAGCTTTAAAATATACAAATGAGAGTTTGAAAGAAGAAGTCTTCTTAGAACCTAAGCCTCATGCCCCCTCTGCAAGTCTCCTGGTGGGGTGTAAACTGCTCGGGGCTTAGAGGCAACTCATTGTAGGCCACAGAGGGAACAAAACAGGACTGTCATCTCATCACTTTGTTATTTGGTGATGTGACATGTGAGTACTCACTCTTTTGTTGGCTCATAATGTCTGCCAAGGTATGAATGCCATGTGTTCCCCTCAGCTCTGATTATGGGCATTTTGTTATCTTGATCATCAATCTCCTGAGTAAATGGATGCACCAGAGAAGCAGGGCAAGAATATGCCAACGCTTTATTTGTTCATTTAAAAATAAAGAGATTTCATTTTACTGATGGTATTGGCACAGACAACACACCAGGGATCAACTCCAGAGCTCCAGGTGCCCTGAGGGAAGAGAGAGGAGAGAGTCAGCACGCAGCCTGGCACATGGGCTCTCACCTTGTCACTCCTCTACAGTTCATTGTGTATTGCGTTCCTGGTAATTGCCCCCCAGACTGAAGGTAGCACAGTAATAATATCAATACACGACAGAAGACAGTGGTAGAGCTGACATCCCCCTCCTCCTAGAGCAGGTACCATGTTTCAAGGTGGAAGCAGTGACAAACCCACATAATCTCACAAGAAATGGATCCATAAACATTATCAGGAAGACTATTTCCATTACGGGTTTGCATCCACAATAATAAACAGTGTGTCTTACTGTGAGTATATACTTTGCTTGCTGATGATAATGTGAAGCCTTTGTGATTAGCGAAATATATGATAGCCAATTATCCAGATAATTTTTCTTTCTGTGGTACTGGGGACTGCAACCACGGGGCTCTCTACCAATGAGCTAAACCCCCAGCTTTTTTTTTTTTTTTTTTGAGACGGGATTTCCCTATGTTGCTGACACTGGTCTCAAACTTGCAATCTTCCTGTCGAACCTGGCACAAATTAATTTTTAAAATATTTTAATGAGTACAAAAAAAATGTTTTTTAATCATTAGTTAAGTATCTTTAAAATTAGTTTATTTTGTCTTTATCTCATTCTCTTTATTCCTTTTATATATATTATATGATATGTGAAACATTAATGCTATACTGTATTACACAATTCATAAATAATTAGAACATATATATTGCAAGTACCTAATTTTTTTTTAACTTATAGACATATTTAATCAGAAGTTTAAGACCTCTGATCTAGATTCTGGCTAATGGTCAAAATCTCCTGGAGAGAACGACATAGAAAGCCTCTGGTTAGGCTCTGGGATCAGTGTTCCACAAGCTTCCCGGCCACCTTTGATGATCAGACATATATGGGAACTTATTCCTTGTCTCCATTGTTATAAGCTAAACATCATCCAATAGCAAAATCTCAGCTTTTAGTAAATATTAGAAAGAAAATCATTTTGTAAGCCTAAAACAGATGTCTACTATTTCACTGATATTTTTTTCATTTTTTAGAATGTGTTTTTAACAAATATGTTCCTACTCTACTATTTTTTGATCAAAGAAGAGAATTTTGTGCACAGGTATTTATTTAAACCGTAAGAAATTATCAATATGTAGCCTCTTTTTTTTTTAACCAACAAAAATGGTACTTTATATGGTTAACCAATGTTTTTCTCAGAAAATTGTTTGTATTTAAAATAAGGCTGATTATGGTAACAAGCACCTATAATCCTAGCTACTTGGGAGGCTGAAGCAAGAGTGTTTGAAGCCAACCTGGACAACACAGCAAGACCCTATCTCAAAAAATAAGAAATAAGATTAAGATTTTTTTTTTTTATTGGTTGTTCAAAACATTACAAAGCTCTTGACATATCATATTTCATACATTAGATTCAAGTTGGTTATGAACTCCATTTATAAGATTTAAGATTTTAAAAATAAAACCTGTGAGGATATTTACACAAAAGGGAAGCGTTTATTTCACATCTTTGTAGCATATCTTAAAATAGGATTTTAGCGGAATTATTGCAATGTGTTTCCTATTTGTGTCTTTCTTCGAAAATTTATTCACTATGTTAAAAATCATTTTGTGTACCTCTAAACTCCATAAACAGAATTTTAATCTCAGAATACCAAAAGAAATTTAAAATCTGATTTGGGAAAAATAAGACTCATAAGCATAGAAGCACAACCAAACTGTTTTGGACAAAATCAGCAATTTGTGAAGGAGCTGATACCAACAAATTGCTTGAGATAAAACAGTGATTTATCTAGAATGAAAAGTGGTGTAGCCAGCCATCACCTGCCTTTGTATTTGCTGATTACCTAAGTTGTGAGGCCTAGGCTTGGAGATGGTGCTGCTCCCCTAGATGTCTTTTCTTTGCAGAGCAAATGCATTTCAATGGCATTCATGTAATATAGCACTCTCTCCACAGAATAGTTAAAAGTTATAGTCCTGTGTGCTATAATAATATTTAGAAGAGCACTTTAAAGGAAAACATTAAAACGTTTGCCAAGTATTACTTTTAATGCATTTTACCTATAAAATAGAAAACATGTAAAAGGGAAAGTTCAGTTTTAAAAACAAAGTTTTATATTTTTGCATATTTGACTATAAACACCTGAATACTCGCCTGAATAAAAAGGGTCAGAAGTGGCCTTTTGGTTGGGGGTTGGGATGTTACTGAGAATGTGCTTTACCACTCAGCTACCTTCCCAGCCACCGCCGCCGCCGCCTCCTCCCCCCCTCTGCTTTTCTTTAAATTTTCAGACAGGGTCTCATTAACTTGCTGAGGCTGACCTCAAACTTGTGATCCTCCTGCCTCAGCCTCCCAAGTGGTGGGTTTATAGGCATGTGCCACCAGGTCCAACGTAAGTCTTCTTGATTTGTTAATGTTGTGGTTTTAAACATGGTTTGTTAAAAAGTTATGGCATTCTTTTAGGTTTTTTGTTTCATTTTTGTTTATTTTGTTTTGCTCTGTTTTATTTCTTGGCAGTATTGGAGATTAAATGCAGGGCCTATCACATGCTAGACAAGTATTCTACCACTGAGCTACATCTCCAGCCTCTCTTAGTTTTTAATGACAAATATTTAGATGTTATTCCGAGAATACTACTATGTTAGGGTCTTGCTACATAGTTGATGTTGTGCTGTGACATGAAACAAGAGTAATTACAGCTTGCCGTTGATTCCCTCTGATGATCAGGGATGAGAGTGATATGGATAAATTAAATTTAACAGATAATCCCCAAAACATCATTTTAGCCATTAACTTAAAATTCCTATCCTATTAAGTCTTGTTCTGAGACCTCCTGTTAAGCTTCAAAAGTGACAGGTTTTTAGACTGAGCTTTCTTTTCCCACCATCTCCTGGGTGCTGCTCTCTAAATGAAATACAAATACAGCATGGGGCAGCACAAGAAAGACTAGAATCTAGGAAGCTACTCAATTCAGAGCATGAATAATCAACCCTGGTGTTCAGATTTGGTCCTGATGTAGTCATTAAGCCCTAAGAAAGACAGGACTGCACATAGGAAGGCAGGATCAAGTAAACACAGTGTCGACTACCATGTGGGAAGACATCTACTGAAAATATATTTCTTAAAACTATTTGTTGGAAAAAATTTTTCTTTGTATTGCAGGTAATCACCTTCTTTAGCTCAAGGTTGCTACAAGCTGGAGCTGAGCTTTCCGTGGAGAGGGTCTTAGAGATCATTAAGCAAGGGGTTGTTGCACTGCCCAAAGACAGACTAAAGGTAAGATGGCCATGACACTTGGTGTAACATCGTCACATCATCGTCTAAGCAAGTTCTACTTGGAATTGTACCACTGACCCAGTACATGTGCTAGAAAGGCCAAGTATTCCCCACTCTTCTGTGTACTGATACTCAGAATTGTGCTGACCGTTCCTGCAGCTTTTCAAAAGAAAACAGCAAAAGAAGGATACCACAGCACATCCTGTGAGTATCCCTGTGTATCCTGTGAGTAATTCATATACCATTAACAGAGAAGCACCTTATTTTTTAAACCCAATTAAGCAAATTTAGTGTAAAAGTATCAAGTGTTGATGGGAAGGTAGCAATGATGACAGTTACCACAGTAGCTAATCCTTCCTCAGTGTTTGCTCAGTGTCACAAGAGCTTCACGTTATTCACCTACATCAACTCATTCTGTCTTCACAACAGCCCTTTGAAGTGGGCAGTGTTATCATCTGAGTCTTTCAGATGAGGAAACAGATGTAGAGAGAGGCAAAGAAACCTAGTCAAAGACACACAACTGGAAAATTATTAAGCTGGGAGATTCAGATCCAGGAAGTCTGGCTACAGAGCCTGTGCTCATAATTACTGTGCTATTTACTGTATGCCAGCATTATAGCAAGGGAAAGAAAGCATTTCAAGGAAAAGGTATGAGAAATGCTGGATTTGGGAAAGACATTTACATATGTGTGATAGATGTATTCCTGAAGTGATCTCATGATTTGAAATTCATTCTTTAAGACTAACTTTCCCATAAGAAAAAATATAAAGGAGCTATTTTGGGAGAAGTATGAATGAATAATATTGAAACATAATTTTATTTTAATACTTCTCACTATGTTTGTCCTTCATTAGATCTAATTTTTGTAGAGTGCTTTCTCCCAAATTATCAACCTAGTGGATGTTTGGCCTTCTTCATTGTGTTTTATCACAACCAACTTCTGTTCCATAGTTGCTGTTTGGGGCTGTGTTTTCCTGTACTATCACTAGAACCATTGCTTCATGAAAGCTTGAGAGATATTATTGTAGGTTATAAAAATATTTTCAGTTATAATAACAGAGTTTGTAAAATAACAGCACATTAGTCATCTTAATCACTTACAGAAGCTCCCCTGTACATAAACAGCAGTGAGACTTGCACAGTCCTGAGCAAAAATGGCAGATGTTTCTGTGGATCAATAAGTGGCACCACATGTACTAATAGCATAAAAACAGTTCACTGGATCCTTCAGCTTTCACATTATTCTATTCCTGACAATTTTCTAAATATATTCCCATTCTTACATAAACTAAGACGTTGGAGTGTTGGTTCTGGGGTTTTGCACTATTTCAATTTGTTTGCATTATGCCATATGAACCGGAGCAAAAATCCATGAAGATTAGAGTGGCTTTTCCCAGAAAGTGATGGATCTTGGCATCTAAGCTTAGTCAAGAAAGAAGTGAAATATCAGGAGGCCGTCAGAGAAGGATAATGCAGAGGAGATGGGAGAAGGAAGATTTTCTAAGATTAAAGAATTTGTTTAGTGGAAGTAAAGAAAGATTGTGATTAGAGAGAAGTGTATTTAGACTGTGATTTCAAAAGTGAGGCAGATTTTGGTAATAACATGGTCTGGATTGACCATGAGTATGAGGGACTGAGATGGTATGGATGTGGATGAAAGCATGATTGTTGGTGAAGAACTAGAAGTTATG